GAGGGCTCCGTCTTTGGGGTTTTCCGTCTGTCTGTCTGTCTCTCTCTCCATTTCTCTCTGTCTGAGCCTCTCTCCGTCTCTCCCTGTCACTCTGTCTCTTCCCCTCCCCGTCCGTCTGTCCTTCTCTCTGTCCCTCCGTGTCTCCGGGTTGGGGGTCCTGCCTCCCCGGCCCCATACGCCCCTCTCCCGTGGGCACCGCCCTCGGGCCACCCCGAACGCCGTGCCCTGCCCACCAGAGCCGCCCCCCCCGCCAGGGTCCCCGAAGACCCACCTGGCTGCACCTGCCATGTTTACAGAGGCCCCTGGGCTGTGCGGCCCCAGCCTGGGTGCCCCGATTTTTAAGCCATAGACCTGGGGTCACGGCAGGAAGGAACTTTACTTGGCCACTTCTAAGAACCACCTCGGCCGGGATATTCTGGGCCGGGCGGGACCCGCCCCACAGACCCCAACTTCCCCTCCAAACCCTGAAGTGAAAGCACCACTTGGTTGTCCCCACAAAGGGGCCACTGCCAAGAAGTAACCCCCCAAAAAGAAAAGAATTAAAAATAAACGGGGGAGCCGGCCCCACCCGGCGGCAGGCCTCCCAGAAGCGGGGGCTGCCCGCATGCCGGTCGCACCACTGCGCACAGCACTTCCACTCGATGGAGGCTCAAGGCTTCTCCCCGATCATGTTAGGTTCTGATTGTATTTTTTCTTGACTGTAAAGCCCTTTTTTCTCTCCTCTTTTGGGACGAGAGCCCTGGTTTTCTACACTACCCGCGGACCCCCCCTCCTGCCTGCCCAGCTAGGCTGGCGGGCAGCTTTTGTATGGTACGTTGATATTGATATGGATATAAAACCTGGAACATGTGGATGCTTCTGTTGTTGATGGCGGGGCTTCTCCAAGGCCACGGTGTGCTGGGGACCCCGGCATTCCCAGGGTCACACAGATCTGGCCCCTGGGTTTATCATTCCAGGGAGCCAAGGAAGGCCGACAACCCTCACCCCCCCCACCACCCAGTTTAGCTGCTTGTGACCGGAGAAGGTGAGAGACTTGCCCAAGGTGCCAGGACAGAGAGGCTCAAACCCTGAGCTCAGCCCTACAGCATGGCCTGCTCCAGGCACCCCAGACTCCAACCCAGCTTCTCACCAGTGCCCAGGCTGCACCCCCGCCCCGGCCCCTCAGGCTTGAGTCCCAGCACTCAGCCACCAGCCAGGCTCTCGGGAAAGTCCCCTCCCCTCTGATGTGCAGCTTCTTCATTACCAGGTGGGGTCAATAGCATGACCCCTCCCCTGCTGCCCAGAGAGGGCCTCCATGTCCTTAATGCCTTCAGTGCCGGCCCCTCCCCGCTGACTCTCCTCTGACCCCCTCTCTCCACACCTGCCCCTGACATCCAGGCCGCCAGGTCCCAGGGGACATCGACTTGGGGCCTCATGGCGTCTTTGACCTGGACCATTCATCACCCTCTCCCCAGGGTCCCCGTCTCTCGGCCCTTCCCTCCTTAGAAGACTAAGCCTTCGCCCTCTCCTCTCCCCATACCGCACCTGTCAGGGCCCAGCATGCCCATGGCAGCCGGGGGTAAATGAACAAAGCTGCCCTCTGATCCATTTCTCCCCCACTGGGCTCTCAGAGGGACGGAGCTGCCTCCCCTGGCCTCAGAGCCCTCGGGCCTTTCCAGGTGCTGCCCCTGCTGTGTGCCCAGGTCAGGAGGTGCCCCACGAGTAACCCCAGCCCAGATGCTGCCTCCCCTGCAGGCTTCACCCACTGCAACGGGGGACACAGGATAAAGGTCACTTTCTAGATCCCATGACCCCAGCCGGCTGAGCCTGCAGACAGAAGATAACAGCCCACGTGTCCTCACATGGTGTCCTCAGGTGTCTGCTCTCAACCACCAGCCATGTCTCCTTGGGAAGGTCACCTCCCACCTCTGATCCTCAGATTCCTCTGACCAAGTAAGGTCAATAGTTGCTTCTCCCACCCCCAAGGGGAAGTCTCTTGAGGGCCAGACAATCAAATGAGTGGGGACTTCCCCACGCCGGAAGAAGACCCAGGAGCGAGGGAGCTGGGGCCTCTGCTACAATCTGGGCCAGGTGTGGGCGTTTCCTCCCGTGGGATCAGGTCCTGTGTCACGCCTGGCACTTGAGGCCCTGCAAAGTCTGAACATCTGGGTTACTCCCTCACCATCCCAGCCTGCACGCCTTTGGGCGGGCTATTCTCTTCCTGGTTACTGTCCTGGGCCAACACTTTTCCAGCGGTGCCCCCC